TTTCACAACTTTTTTTTACATGAGTATCAAGCAACCAAAGGAACTGTGGATCCTCCACAGATGAGTTTCGAATAAAGTATGACGAAAAAAGGGACAAAAGCAAGAAAAATATTTATTGTTCATTTTATGATTACATCTATGTAATATTTTCTTTTGTCGAAAAAAATCAACAAATTCAATTTTATCTATCCCTAGAACTAGTACAAATGTAGAGAAGGAATTTTCATCGGCTGGTTGCATTCTTAATGAAAGACAAACAAATCTATAATCAAATAATGTTGATGAAATGTTATTAATTCGATCTATAGAAAAATAGTTGCATCAAAAATAGAATTTTGTCTTATTGAGTTCATTTTTTTTGTCAAGTCTTTGTGTCTTTTCTTGCTCTTTTGCCAAATAGTGTACTGAAGTAAAGTTAAAAGTGATTTTTATTGAAATATCTCCGATTTTTTATTGCATCAGTTGTTGCAATATGCTACTTTAACTTAGTTTGAGTAAAATAACGTTTAACAATATTCTCTAAAACCGTGGTTGCTCTGGAAATCGATTTCTTAGAGAAATCTAATATTTTGTCAAATATGCAGGGCAGCCTGCCGTACTCTGCTCGATTTTTGCCCAACAGGGCAGGGCAGGATACAATTTTTTCTATTTTTAAGATTTCCTGCCAGGGCAGGGTAGGACAGGGCACAGGGCACAAGGCAGGGCAGGGCAGGGTAAGAAAATACAACCCTGTACTCATCTCTGGTTTGTTATTTAAAAAGATAGAAATGCAGTTATACGATGAGTTTAATGAAAAATAGATATGTTAAAGAGAATAACAATAAAGTAGAATTTTCGACCATTGACAGCTGGAAACGTTGGCGAATCGGTCATCATCAGTAAATAATATTAATGTTGAAATCATAATCACAATAATCATAATAATAACACAAACATTATAATCCAATAAATATGTTCAAGTTTTATAAGTACTGCATGTAAATAAGTGTGTTTCATTAAACTCATCGTATAACTGCATTTCTATCTTTTTACTTTATTTTGCTATTATCAAGTTATTTTTCTCTTTAATGGTTTGTTATTATTCTTAGTGACATTGATGAAAAAACTAATGTTGTACATTATATTTATAAAAGAAGAAAAGTTTGAAGATAAAGATGATAATAAAGAAGTCATAAATTTGTAAGTCTGTCACTTACCAGACTCTTTTTATTCGGAATGGTGCTCGTTTTTATATATGAGATTTTATAACATTTCTTTATTATAATTATTAAAACGTCTCTTGGAAATAACACGTGGATTCTAAGGGCTAACATCGATACTTATTGTAAGGACGCTACACAGATATTTTATTTCATGTTTTTCTTCATTTATCTATTGAAAACATTGCTCTAAAACAAACGATTCAAGTCTCATTAGTAAACAGAATGAAAAGCAAACTAAGAATATGCACAATCATTTCTTTTCTTTACGCTAAATACGAATACTTATTGATTTTTTTCATTCAATAGATAGTTCATCATTACAAACAAAATCAATGTATTCATTATCACTAACATCGAATAGTTCAATTTATTTTCGATATTGTTCAGATTTGGATTCGTATTATGAAGCGATACAAATGAACGTCACTGTAACTGGATATTATACCTTTCTAATCAACAGTGAGATGAAAACCATGTACGCTTATATCTATAGAAATAACTTCAATCCATCCGATGTGTCCAATAATGTACTGATCCATAGTGAAGACTCTGATAATCAAGGTCAATTTCGACTCAGTGGTTTTCTCGAAGCCAATATGAAATATATTTTCGTTATGACAACATCTTCTCGAAATGTAATAGGAAATGTTTTAATTCAAGCATTTGGCCTAAGCTATATCGGTTTCAATCGTATTTGTGAGTATTTATGGTATTTTGATGGGTAATCAGCTACACATAATTATAACCGATAAAAAATATAGATAAACTCAATCTACAAAATGATATAAAGATATTTCTGTTCGATAGAGACTAAGATTCATATCACTTTCATTTGCCTTCAATATGTTCATCCGAGAGAGAAAATAAAATTTCAAATTATTTACACTTAGTTTTATAATATACAATATTGAATCAATTTCTTTTTCGTTAGTGAATACTTTATCAGTTTTTCAAACAGTTTATACATCAAAATTGACACTGAATAGTTCAACGTATCCATTTATTTATGCCTGGTCAACTGTATACTATGAAGCGATACAAGTAAATGTTCGTAGAAGTGGTATTTACACTTTCTTCAGCAACGGCGATATTTACACAGATGGCTCTATTTACAAAGATAATTTCAATCCATCCAAACCAACTAAAAATCTATTCTTGGACGTTAATGTCCACTGCAAAACATCTCACTTTAGAATCAGGATTGCTCTTGAGAATAGTACTACATATGTATTGATTGTGAAAAATTTTGCTTCTATTATGACAGGTGCATTCTCGATCGTTGTATCCGGTCCGAATCATGTTGATCTCAAAAATATTAGTAAGTATCTGTACTACAACTATTAAATGAATATCTATCAATGTTAGCATGAGTATTTAGTTGAGTTTGGCATGTCCACAAATAAAAACTTGTTTTGTAAGATGACATTTCGTACTAATCAATCAAATAACAGGATATTGTGAATAGGATCAGATCAATCTTTTTGAATACAGACTCGTTTCAATGGATCACTAGTCTGATGTGAATGATATACAAATCGGCATGAATTTCTGCTCGTGACCATGAAATTAAAAAGACTTTGCTATTTATCACAACCTACCCTATCACTCAATGGTCCTATAATAAAAAATGCTGCAAACATTTAAGTATAAAGTATCGGAGATAAAAAATATAAACATATTCTTACTTTGTATGAATCTAAAAGATATCTTCACGTACTTTAATTTTTAAAGTATTACAACAGTAGCAGAATTAGATTCTAAATAAATAATTGTTCTTATCTAAAACGTTGAGACATTGTCCATTTTCGTAATAAAAAAGTTATTCCAAACTCATTCGTGACATACATTATCGAGCATTTGAGACAGAAATATGTTTATAGATTCTATTCTCACTCTCCATTTACAACTTAATTATATCATTGAGAGTGATATTATAGAGAGTCATCTCTTCAGAAAACTAGGCTCCGCTTCGACATGCCTTTCGATATTTAGAGTATATAAGAGATGACTTATGATGCTCAATTTTCTTTCTTACATTCAAACGATTCGTGTTTCTCTCAGTCAATCAAGATCTATCACGAATCTTGATTGTTATTTTTATTTTCATCACATAGGTTACCTACCAGTCATCATCGGTATACCAGATTCATCAACTGTACAATCGAATTATTCATCAGAATTAACTACGAATAGTCCAACATATTCTCCACGATGTACACAATTAAATTATTACTATGAAACTATACGAATGCATGTAGGAGAAACTGGATACTATGCTCTGACCAGTAATAGCAGTATAAGTACATTTGCTTATATTTACAAAGATGGTTTTAATCCAATGAACCCTTTTGAGAATTTATTATCATTATCACAGGATTATGGAAGCAGTGTTGGTTACAATTTCAAACTTATCGCTTATCTTCACACTGGCACTACATACATATTAGTGGTGACAACAGCTTCTGCAAATATAACAGGAAACTTTTCCATTCAAACATTTGGCCCAAATACTATCACTCTTGATCCTTACAGTAAGTACTTTGTATCATTTGTAAATCATCAGCAGAGAATTACAACATCCCACTGGACTCCGTTTTCACCCTTGAATAATAAAAGATCTGAAAATTTCAAATAGATTGTATAATTCAATAGGATTATTGTCAAAAAATAGAATCAAATCGGAACTCTTTCTTTTAAAATTAGACAATTTCCTTCCAATAAGATAAGATTAAGTTTCAGTATTGTAGCTTAATCGTAATTAAACGGATTGTACAAGTTCAATTAGTTAGATAAACTGATACAACTTTTCTTCTCGCATCAACGATACGTTCAAGAAGATGTGTTCTTTAGTGATTTCACACTATCTGAGATTCTATTATCTTGCACTCTTTGAAAATTTATCGAGTTCATATGCGGAAACACCTTTATAAAAATAAGTAGATTCATCATGAAATATTGAAGAGAAAATAAAAATATACAAATATAATCTCGACAGGACATATCATATATAGACAGATGGCGTTGATAGACCATTGTTACTTACAAATTTGCGTCTATATGGTTTCGTTAAGTTGAGAAAGATTGATCTTATCGCTTAATAACTATGAATTTCTTTCTCCCGCTCAAGTTTTGGCCGGTTGTTTCATTGGCCAAAAATGTCAGTTCTACAAAAAGAGTATCGGTGTCACTCTCGATGATATTTTACGTGACGAAATTCGATCAAACATGACAATGGCTGATCAAACAATACTGCTGAAAATCAACGTCGGTTTGACGATGATTATGTTTGTTGGAGGTTTAATCAATAGTATTTTGTCTCTAATAACATTCCAAGATAAAGATTTACGAAAAGTTGGATGTGGCATGTATCTCTTAGCATCATCGATTACTTCTTTTCTTACAATCAGCATGTTTACAGTGAAGTTTTGGTTCGTTGTTCTCACTCAAATGGATCTATCGATTCGTGTTTCTGTTGTTCGAGGAGGTTGTGCATCGATTGAACCTCTTCTCAAGCTTTGTCTTTATTTGGATGCATGGCTGAATGCTTGTGTAGCCATTGAAAGAGCGGTTCTCGTTCTCAAAGGAATCAACTTCAATAAACAAAAAAGTCAACGCATTGCTCGATGGATAATTCTTATCTTACCATTCTGTGTCATGAGTTCAATTATTCATGAACCTATATATCGAGGATTACAAGAAATGGAGATTGGAGAGGGCAAAATAAATATCAACAGATTGTGTGTAGCACGTTATTCACATTCTATTCAACAATACAATACGATCATCCTATTTTTTCATCTTGTTGTTCCATGTATTATCAATCTTTGTTCTGCTTTATTCATCATATTTGGATCAGCCCGACAAAGATCAACAGCTCAGACAAGACAAACTCTAAGAGAACATGTTTATAATCAATTTAATGAACACAAACAATTATTAATCAGTCCGATAGTTCTTCTAATTCTGTCCTTACCCCGTCTGATTATGTCTATGTTATCAGAATGTGTTAATCCATCTAACCATCGATTGTTATTTATTTTGGGTTATTTCATTTCATTTACTCCATCGATGCTTATTTTTATTGTCTTTGTACTTCCTTCAGCATTGTACAGAAAAACATTTCAAGAGTCATTCAGACGATGGCGACGACTCATTCATCAATAATTAATGTTTATTCATTATTTTAGAACTTCTCTAATCTTGTTGGTATAGTATTCGCTTTGCTTTGACAATTAATCGAGAAATATCGATCAAACAGAACAATATTTTCCGTCTTTTGCATAGACTATCGGATAATAAAAGACAAATTTAATGAATTTATGATGATATTATTTCTAACCTCTTGAAAAATGAAGACGAAATCTCACAAGGTTTCGGAAGTGTTGTTTCTGAGAAAAGTTCTGATATCAATTTCTCAGCTTATTATTTAATAAAATTTTATGTTAATGTAGTTTTTGTCCCTAGATATATCATTTATAAACTGAAAAAAATTAGACAAAATGTCCGACTAACTACTTTTATTGATTATCGTTAACAAAATGAGTAAGATTAGGCATAATGAATTAATTAGATCTTTTTTAAAGAATATCAAACGGTATATCTTTTCAGAATAATGATAAATATCAGATACGGATTGTATCATTTTATGTCACATTTATATGATCATGAACTTCATTAGCTCTCTCATCCGTAGCAAAGAATAAAATTCAACCGAAAAATGTCACTTCAATCATTCAAAACAATCAAAAGCTGATTAGCAAGATCTGTTCTATTATAGCCATCCTATCGCAAACATCCATCTGTGAAACATTAGAAAGTGGTTCACTTTTCTTTATCGTCAGTGAAATGAGTCATTAGCTAGACAAAACAACCGAATCCTTTTACAATTCAATATGACGCATATAGAAAACAAGTGAATGAAGCACAAGTATTATTTGAATTGGATTTATTAATTCTTTTCTTGCGTGAGATATAAATACACATACTATATCAAGAATGAGGGTGTGGGTATGGATATTGTATTCACCTAGCATCCACACCCACATCCAGATTTGAAATAGCCAACTATATGTATCTTTTCGATTGAGGATTGAGAAAATCGATGACTTTGGTGTAGTGGCTAGGACACGATCATCTAATTCTTTTATCGAGCAAATATCTGCAGGATTTATTTTTGTGTTTACGTCGAAAGACGAAATCACAATCACACAGCATAGTTAATGTTTCAAACAACTTAATAGGAATAGGTCTGTACGAAAGACGAGCTGCAATCAGATCGATTGATAATTCAATCATACTGAATATGCTTAATTGTACTTTATCCGTTCATGTGCTGACATGATATGAATATAATAGTTTCAAGAGAAAACACAAAGAAATTTTGAAGTTTAAGGCAAAAGAAAATCTTTCATCTTTATCTTTTGCAATGTACATCTTGATCGCAGCGATATCTGTAGTAAAAACAATCATAAATATAAAACAATTAAATGCTATTATTTTAATTTTACCGATAAATGCAAGTTTCATAGCTGACATAAGATATTGACCTAACACGTCTTCATCTAAATAAGAGTATGAGGAACATATGAAAAACTAATAGAACATTTTACAATCAAAGTTTACAAATAATATTATCCACTGTTTCATTTTAGTATGTATTTTAAATGCAACTGAAAATCTGATAAATTAATTAATGACTTTTTTGAATCAGAGAAATTCGTTGATATGTATTGATTGAGGATGTGACTGTGTAAGCGTATGGGTTGCAAGTATTGTTTTTATTATCCTTCATCATCTTTCATGTAGACAAACATGCTTTTGGTTTGATGTAAGTATATTTCTTTTTTATAGAATGGAAGAAAAAAATCATTTTCCGGCAACTCTCTCCCATTCTATCAGTTATAGAAAAGAAAAAAAAAGAAAGAATGCGACTCGTCTATCTTCATAAATATCTCTCCCAAAGAAACCTTCGTCAAACATACTCATAGGAAAAGAAAGGATTGCAGACTATTCTCATTTGAATGATGCATACTACTGACGACATTCAGTTGGAAATGAAAGAAAAAAATAATCATTTTCCAGCAACACTCTTCCATTCTATCAGTTATAGAAAAGAAAAAACAAGAAAGAATGTTAATCATCTATTTCTATAAATATTTCTCGCAAAGAAACCTACGTCAAACATATTCATAGGAAAAGAAAGGATTATACAGACTATTCGCATTACAATGATGCATACTACCGATAATATTCAGTTGGAAATGGAAGAACCACTGAGAGTACAAGTAGAGAATCCAGTATCTACTAAAAAAAATACTGTCTGTTTGAGATTTCGACGATTCTTCACTCTTGATGTTCTACCAAATGAAAAACATTATTATCCAATATTTATTATCATTATATCTATCTTACATATTTCCATTCATTTGACAACATACGTCAACATCCGATGGAGATATCAAGATTTTAAATCTTCATTACATGATCTTTGGAGATTTTATATCCCATGTATGCGACCAACACCTTACCATATTCGTATGTATACCATGAAGTACAGACCATCGGCACGAAATGTCACATATTATTATGGTGATGAACTCAAACACAAATGTTTCTCTTTTCTATATCCACATCAACTATGGAGATTAATTACTGTTAATCTAATTCATGCTAATTGGTTACATTTATTAGTTAATTTGTCAAAACAACTACTGTGTGGTATTTTACTCGAACGGAAATACGGTTCACTTCGGATAGTTATTGTCTACTGGCTTTCAAATCTAGGCGCACTTCTATCATCTGCTATGTTGGCAGATAGTCGACAAGGTAAATAGACTAGTATTCAATCTTCTTTTACAGTGGTATAAATGATGAATATTTTTTAGGTAGTGTGGGAGCATCCGGTGCTATATATGGTCTACTATTATTTTTCACTGTGGAACGTCTCAATACAATGAAAACAAATATCCATCATCGCCTTTTAATAGTGATGCAATTAATTATATTTGTTGCATTTCCTATAATTATCGTCACGTCTGTTGCAACTATTCTTCACGTTAATGTGGTACATTCAGCTCATCTTGGTGGTGGTTTGGTAGGTTTTCTGTTTGGTATCGGTATGTTTGGTTGTCCATGTTCATATTCATGGAATAATAATTATTGTAACTTTCAATTGGCATGCCGATGGATAGCATTTATTTTTATTTTTACCTATTTTGTCGTTACTTTCACTATTTTTTTTCGAATGCACGCTCCGTTTGCATTTAAGTCATGACCAAGATGCTAGTTGAAGACTTAGAATGTATAAGTGAATGTAAATTTGTTATTATTGAAAACATCTATTATCAATTTCTTCATCATTATGAAACGAGAGTATGCGGTAAAAAAGAATACGAGTAATGTAATCACACTTTATCTATATAAATATAGATGCGTATATCAATCAATATATTTTTTCTTTTCTGTTCGTATCAATTGACAGATATGAAAAGCTTTCGCTAAAAAATGAATGATAAAACAAATCATTCATTAGAAATGAAAAGTGTATATCGCTCGAGAAATGATATTTCAAACGGTTTTCTAAGATAACTTATATGTAATTGATAGAAAATATTCATCTGATTGATTATGATATCATGCCAAGATTATTACATATTAATTTGCATTGTGAGAATATTTTGCTACTGGATGAAAAAACTACAGGTACTTTAGATGCTAATGGTGCTTTGGTTGAGCGTATGGATGCATGCGAGTAGATATAAGATGAATCTACACCCACACCCTCAAGTGTATGAAATACACAATGATTAACAAATTTATTATACTTCGCATTATTTTATTCCAGAATCTAATGTATTTTTAGTTTGATTTATATGATTTTAAAAAACTAAACAACCCAATAGAATTTTTTGCTGTACGTAATATTGTACCAATCGTAGTCTTTCGAAAAACTTGATAATGTACACCATTAATCTAAGTTCTTTTCTATTTATCTCAAACCGTGACGGAGATTCCAGGTTTAAAAATGTCTTTTATAGAAAATATTAAGTCGGTCAAATAACTTCTTCAAAGAAACAATTTTTAAAATTCTATACGACACAAATAAAAAAGCTGTTAGCGCAATCCCTAGCAGGATTAAAATGTGAAACACGATGTAACTGTTGTTTATACCTTCACGAAGATAGTTTAATTGTATCTTTATGAAGCGGATTTTGCTTCAATCTGTGGCATAAAGGTATAGAAATATCGGAAAGAAATAGTTTACATATAATATATTCGCTTAATTAGCGTTTTAACAGTTATATGCTTGTATATATTGTAATATTTGGTCGCCTATGTCTACACCCACACTTACACCCTATATAAAGACATATGATACCTTGTCGGTCACGTCTGTGACAAGGTCAAAAGAACATGTGTCGGTCACGTCTGTAATTCCCTGTCGGTTACGTCTGTGATGGTCTACGATACTCTGTCGGTCACGTCAGTGATGGTTTGCTATGCTCAGTCAGTAACTTCTGTGATGGTCCATAATTTCACGTGGATTAGCTCTGTGAGGTTCTGCCGGTCACGTCTGTTATTTTTTAGCATGCTGCTTTCGGTCACGTCAGTGATGGTTTACTAAGCTCTGTCGGTCACTTTTGTGATAGTTTTCCATGATATTTCGGCGACTTTTGCTGCTTATGTCGCTCACGTCAGTGACGCTCTGTCGGTCACGTGTGTTATGCTGTGTCGATCACGTCAGTGATGGTCTATGATGCACTGTCAGTTGCCGCCTTTGAAGTTTTGTCGGTCACGTCTGTGATGCCCTGTCGGTTACGTTTGTGATTTTTTGTCGGTCACGTCAGTGGGGGGGGGGGGGGGGGGGGAGTGGGTCCAAATTTCTACCCCTTAACACTTCAACACTCCTTTTAGATCGTGTTTCACAAAATATATAAGACATTCAAAATCAGTCGTTAATGCAAACAAAGGTAATATGTGATATAGAATCTTCAGTTTTTATTGATATTAGAAATATTTTTTTTTAGTAAATTCACTCAAAATAAGATTACCTAATAGAAGTGCATTGATTAGAGGAATTTAAGTGATTTCTCTTGATTCAATAAGATTCTAACAAAGATTAATGACATACAAGAAAGAAGATGTCATAAGTTGACATCTTTTCATATATTTATCATGATCAATTGCAATAAAAAAAGTCACTCTTATTTATCATTATTGACTTCAAATGAGATTTTCAATTATTGCACAGATTTCAAAAATATCATGTGCATTCGATTATAAAAATTACTCTTCTATATTTAATTTTCATTAGACTGATTCTATTCCAATTTATTGATTTTGTAATCAAATAAAAGTTATTACAGACAGGATAAAGTAAAAATCTGGAGAGTTTTTATCCTGATGTTATTTATAGGACATTCTATTGATATAAAATCATGTATAGCGTGATTAAAAATCATCAGGGTATAGAAAAAAAAGTTTATATGCTCATAATTGGCAAACTATGCTAAATTATAATATAAATAAAACAAATATTCTCTCATGGGTATATATCTGAGAATTACCAATACATTTTTCATGGCTATTTAATGTACTTCCGATCGATAATAGCTCCATTATTTTCATGGTAATTGCTTCCTTCTATTACACCGTTTCATTTACAGACAAACGATAAAGTATTAATAATAAATATGAATCATGGTTTGTGTCATGATTTTTTTCAAAATCTTATACACAGACTAAAAAACAAAATTGCAAGTACAAGAAATATGTGCTTATCGATCATTAAATCATGTAATCATTCAATCATGCAATGTTTCTTCTGTCTGTAATATTAGTCAGGCGTAACACTAGGCATGCACCAATTCTAGAATTGGAATTGGTCGGAACTCGATCAATTTTCGAGTGGGTATCGAATATTATGTATTGATCGAGTTCCCGGAATTGAACGGAATCGATTCTGGAGCGGAACTGGTTCCTGAAATGTTCAACATTGCGGAATAGGATGACTGCTCAAAACATGGTATTAAACATTATTTTGAAAATTTTTCATTTTTTGTAATATATATTGTAAGTAAAATTTAGTGAATAAATAGGATGCAACATAAATACCATGGATTTTAATAGAAAATGAGAAAAATAACAGAACTATAGGACACATACATCATTCAATATCATATCAGATTGAATTAATGAATTCATCTCTTACTAATTCAATACAATTTTAGAAAAGAAAATGGATGCCGGCAGTAGCAGGAAGAAAGAAATTTTTTTTTCTTTCCTTTTCTTCAATGTCCTTCATACGATAAAATGTGCGTTTACGTTCTATCAACCATATCTTTTTTTTGTATAAAAGGTAAAAAGCATATTTGAATAAGTAATTTTCTTTTTTTTTACTAATATATAGGTACCGTCCCTTTCTTTCTTTCTTTCCTTTACCATGTGTTTATTAATGCTTCGTTTTGCAGACAACAAATCCAGTTTTGATGATCGACATCGAATAATATCGTATATATACGAAATTTTGTTTTAGATGGAAGAGCTTGACTATGCGACATCAGAAACAACAAAACTTAATTATCTCAATTTGCTTCAGGAAATCGATAAACTATCAAGTTTATCAAGTACTCATTTGAATATCACTGAAATAGAGACCATCTTCAACAATATAACAGAGAATATCGATCGAATATTGGATCAAATGGTTTTTCAGAAAAATTCAATGTTCCTTATTACAACATTAAATATAATTGTACGCATCTCTGCTATCGATGGATCTGATTTGTTTATATCACGACAACCTTTTCAGTCAATGTTTGAAAAATTGAATCTTCTGATAAAATGTATTCGTGAAAAAACAGATTATTCTCCAGTGAGTGCCAGTAACATTTTGGATGTAATACTTCTGAACCTTGTAAAAGATGATTTTATTGAAACTTGCTTTCGACGACTTCTTTCAAATGAGACATTAACAACTGAAGGTGATATTCTTAGTATTGAGAGATGTTTATTGATAGACGTTCCCTAATTATATTTTGACTAATTTAGATTCTATCGAAACCAATGAAGAACCTTCACAAGAAAAAAGCATTGAATTTTACAATATCGTGAACCAATACATAGTCCATGCTATTAACTTTGTTTACAAAGCAGTTATTCAGCCGAATAATGAATTTAAAAACAGTTACAGTTCTCTTCTAATGTCTTTGCAAGAATTTATCAATAATTGTCTAAATGAACACGTTTCTGCGCGTGTACTATGTGTAGCAACTTGCATTTTAACTCTATTATGGAATCTGACCGATAAACTTGCAATGGTTTCTATATGTATTGATGTTGGTTATATTCAAAAACTTATCCAGTGGATTCGTACAGATACATTTGCGTCTCATATCCGTGTTATTGGTAATCCAATAATCTGTATTGTTTACAATTTGTCAAGAGACAAGACAGGTTTAAAACAGTTTCGTACAGAAAAAGCTTTCGACATTTTAATGGAACGTAAGCAGTTAATCAATAATGAAAACAATAATGACTTGACAGATAGTTATGGTCGGGTATTGATCGCACTAGCTACGAGTGATGAACAATCGGAAGAGAACAAAAAACTCATTCTTAATACTACCGAAAATTTATACCAATTATGTAAGAAAACTGATCAACAAGATGATTTATCATCTGATGGATATCATTTATCGGAACTGTTGGAATTATTAGATCGTGCTTTTACAAATACATACGTAATCAAACATATTCTGGAGGATAAGATCAATGAGCAATCAACAGCAATACAATACTTTACAGAACTTTTTCTATCTCTATACGGAGCTCTGCTGGATCCAGAACCAGATGAACTAGAAAAACGTGCTGTTAAATATTTACTTAGAATTCTACTACAGATTTCCAGTTATCCCGAATATCTAAAACAATTAATTGATAATCATCAGTTTTGTATAATCATAGAAAGTCTTGCTAATCGTCCAAAACGAGATGATGTAAAGCGTATTTGGTGTAATATTCAGCAAATTATGTCAACAAACGAACGGAAAAAAGAAATGTTATCAAAAATCTACATTAGCTATGATTATACCGACGAAGATTTTTGTAAAGAATTTGTAAAAGAGTTACGTAAGAGAATGACAATACCAATTTGGGTTGACTATGAAAATGTTGATCTGTCTGATGATATGTGGGAATACATATCTCCAAATATTATATCGGCAACAGTGGTTATTATCTTTGTGTCAACAGCCTATGGTGAAAATACTGATAAATTTCAAGAATTATCTTACATCATTTCTACTAATAAATCAAGAGATGAAAAGAAAGGCTTAATCGTAGTCGCAACTGAACCTAATTTCACTTTCAACCGATCTTGGATGAAAGATCTATTACATGACAAGACTATGGTTTCCTATGAAAATAATATGGGTCAGATGGCTTGGAACGTATGTGAACAGATTGGTGTGTTGGAGAAACCGCGAATAAAATGTTTAAATTGGCTATCCAAAAATGTACGAAGAAAAACACCTCAATCTGATGATTTTTCAGCCAGAACTTTGAAATTGATTCCAGAAAAAGATAAAGTCTATTCGCAAAAGGAATCTTCACAAATGGGCGGCAGTACTGATTTTTTACTTGTGTCAAAAACACATAGTTCACAGTCCATTGTTACTGGACTAATGACGCAAACTGGATCCGTCAGTGGTTCAACTTGGGTATGAAAACGTAAAATAACACTTCTAGAATTTAGATTAGAGTTAATTTGTATTTCTAAAAAAATGACATCGAATATCTTTTGTTATTTTAACGAATTTTTACTAATAAAAAATATATCATCTATGATATTTTGAGGGTGTGGGTCAGTGTGAGTGTAGATGTCTATCTTCTCTTAACCCATACCCACACCCTCAAAAATAACTTTTCGATATTTTTATAATCGACATCTTTCTGTATTTGCCAAACACCGTTTTTGTTTTAAATTGTTTTTTTCATATTGTTACAGTCATATCTTCATATGCCTTCACACATTCTTTCTTTTTTCGTTATTCATTGAAATAAAACACTGCGTGAAGAGAAACGGCTATCATACATCTCTCATTTCTTTTTTCTATCATAACCATGTGCACATATGTTATATTTTTCTTGTTCTTGATATTTACCTATCGACAACACGCGATAAAAATAGTAATCTGATGTGAATAAAGTTGGAAAAAATAAAGTGCGCATACGTGTAATAATGTCAGTTTCGTTTGAAATCAATCCTCGTCTTTTAATCGATATTCCCTGTCAATTAAATCTAAATATTGAATCAATCAATGGTTATAAACAAGAACAACTTCTATCCCTTGAAGAAGCTTGTCAACCGTTGCACAATATCCTTGGTACAGAACTTCAACTCTACATCACTATTGCCAAACTGAATTCAAAACAACCTAGACATGAACTCACTCGAGATGAATCAGCATCTATCTATCTATATACCATGGAATGGAATCAACCAGAAAATAGTCATCATGTTCTTCTTAATCAAGCACTCGTTGCTATCGATCGAAAGCAACTTCAGTATTGGTATAAATATTTGAAATTATTCTTTACAGCACTCTTCAAACTACCGTAAGCAATTCACTTGTTGATAGAATTGATTTGAATTGAATTGTAAGTAGATATGCTGAATATGATACTGTCTGGCGTGGCATTTCTAAAGATGTGACTGAATACTACCGAGAAGGAGATAAAACGACATGGTGTTCGTTGACCTCTGCAACATCTTCATTCAATATTCTTCAATCACCAATGTATTTAGGGAGAGAAAAAGTACAAACAATATTTCAGATTAAAACAAGAAATGGAAAATCAATCCGAGAACATTCACATCTTGAAAATGATAAAGAAATTCTACTTCTACCTGGAATTGTTCTTAAAGTGATGGGAACTTCAAAACAAGGAGATGGAATTCATATAATTCATTTGCATGAGATTCCGTTATATAAAGATCAAGAAATGAATGAAACGTCTTCAGCTATATCAAGTAATACTTGAGATAAAATATTTCTAGTATTTTATATTAATTTTTCTTTTGAAGATAATCAATTAGGTGAATATCGAAATCCACAACTGGAACAAATAATCCGATTATCCGAATCACAGAGCGCACTAGTTATGGAATCGATGAATTTGAATGATCGAGATATGGAAATAGTCGTGAGGTTAGGTATTATGAAGAAGGAGTATACGGCACTGAATCTTAGCCACAACAGAATCACATCAATTGGTGCTTTTATTTTGACTCAATCGTTCTACAATATGAAATATATTGGAGAACTTAAATTGTGTGGAAATCGACTATTTGATTCAGGTGTTCAATGCATTGCTAGAGGCTTGGCAAACAAGGAACTAGGTCTTATCGGTCTATATTTGGACTCAGTTGGAATGACAGATGCAAGCTGTGAGTATCTCGTAGAGGCGGTTCGAATTAATGGACGGATACGTCACCTTTATTTATTTGATAACAAAATTAGTGATTATGGAGTACAAGTATTAATGGAAATACTCAAATTTGATCAGCGTGGTGGCATACCTGGGCTAGGCTTATCTGAGAATAAATTGATAACTGATGCAAGTATGAATAGAATCTGCTCTGCTATGTTTGCATATCCTGAGTTTCGAAAAATACATCTACGTAACTGTAGTCTTTCCATGGCAGCTATAGGGCGACTTCAATTAGCAGTGCAACAGCGAGGTTCATTTTCCCTTTATGTGTAAATTTTGTCTTAGTTTGAGGATGAGAGTGTGAAATTAAAAGAACACCCACACCCTCAAGACCTTTTTGATAACCTTTAACTTTGGAATCATGTTCAAAATAAATTGAAATTGCAATACTAAAGAGAATTAATGATACAAGAAGAATTTTTCTTGAAACAGATTTTGTTACCATTTATAATTGTTGCTCTGTTTGATAGTCGAAAAAAAGAACATTACCTTGTAGATGTATTCATGAAAGACAAGTTTATCAAAGGAAAGAAAAAACAAACCATGTGACGGGATATTGATATAGAAAGAAGAAGTCGAAGATTTTGTCAAAATAAATGCTTTATTTTTCGTCCTTGAATATTATCCTCATATTTAAAATATCAAACAAGAGCTATGGATAACGATCTACTAACTTTCAACAATTGTGTTTTCATTTATATAAAGGATCTTGAGTTGATTTTTCTCAATAGTCAACATAAATGAATATCAAAGGACTCCGACGAGTTTGATGGCAAATCTACCACCTTCTCAGTTTTCGATTCCAGTAAGATAGGCAAATAACGCTTGTAATTCTGCATATTTCTTTCTATTTATTTTGTTTTTTATTGTAGGTAAAAAGAAATTCGGATATGGGTCGTAGCTGTGGGTGAGGAAGATGAAAGAAGAAATACCCACACCCACACCCATTTCAATTGATTTACGCTCTAATTATATTAGTCCACAAGGAGTACAATATTTAGCCAAAGCTTTACGACAAAATCAAGTATAATTTTCTTATTTCATATAGACACTACGTACTCTTGACAGCAAGAACAATAGTATTCTTCATGAAGGAAAACGATATGTTATAGACATACGTAAACATAACTCACATCTTGAATTACATGTCAATCATTAGGTGGCTAACTAATATATGCAATAGAAATTCTTTTAATTCAATGAATGTATTATCAACATTCTTTCAGAACTAAAAACACAGTAAAAATAAAGTTTTTTAATTTTAAAATCTCTCCTAAAGATGAAACTTTAGGGGTATATTTCCTACTTTACCATTTTCATTGACACCCACATCCACCAACTATTTTATTTCATATGACCCTCTCTACAGTCGAGGGAAATACATCTGTTTGACACATTCAAGATATTTTATTTTACACATATCGAATAGTATTACGAATATTAACAGATCTTTGTGATGAAGATGTCAAGGATAAGGGTGTGTTTGGTATAGATAATACAAAACAGTGCAACGATTCTATCGGAAGAGTTGTAGCCTGATGATGAATCGCAGGCCTTTGTACGAAATCACCATAAGATGGTGGCAACAATATTGAAGATGAATGATTACCATTGTTGCGAATAGCTAATCCATAAGGAAATAATTCTCTATATGACGGTAAATCGGTGATGCCATTCGTAACTAATCTATAAAAAAGGCAGAATCAAAGTGTATCAATAGAAAGAAAATAAAACCTACTCTAAATTCTCATTATTATTATTATTTGATGATAATGTCAAATTATTCTCGTACTGTTGTGATCTCTAAGATTAAAATATAAAAAATAAATAAATAAATATATAAAAAATGTTTTTTACTTGTACATATTGATGTCTATGAACTGTTGTTAATGAATATTGCTTTAATGTGGGACATAATCGCTTACATGAATAAAGAGTAATAGCTAATATAATGAAACCTACGAGACAGTTTGCATCTTTCTCAAATTCACCATTAGATAAACCCACATAGAGCATTAATAGTCCAAAAATAAATACAAAAAAAAGAAAAATTAAACAGCATAATGTACAAAAGAATCGATAATTAAATATTGACCGTCTTCTTATAGGATTATTTCGTTCATTGTATGATGTAGAAATGACCATTTTAAAGTTTAATATCAATACAGATGAATTTTTCCTAAAAGAATTACAATGTAAAATAGGTTGTAAAAATAATACTAAATAACGATGTAAAAAACGGTAAGTATGCAAAAAGGATATGGGAAAAAATGTCAACAATTTATTTATTTCCTTTTTATTTCCGCAAAATAGATTAAAGGCATGGCTAAACATTACAAAGCTAATGCGTAGTATTACGTCAGACGCAGAATTGACTAGCACTATGGTATTTACGACAAAAACAAAGAATTACTCTGTTGTTGCAAAAGATGACGTTATTATTAACAACGACATAATAGTATTTCATGTTAATTGTGAATGACAGTGTAGGTGTCTATATTCTATCAACCAACAACGACACCCACCCTCAAAACTGCCTTGACTAGAATTCTATGATATTCGATGCTGATCAAATAAAATTTAAGAATGTATTATGAGACTACTATTATCATCCATTATTGGATCAATGTGGTTCTCTTTTAGAATATGTGGTGATTACTCAATTTTCAACCCTGAGATACTCCTAAAGGATCGAAAAAAAATCAATTTTATCTAAAACAACGATTTTATCGCTTAATTTAACTTAAAAATATCATTTTATAAGTTTGAATCGCAATATGCACTATCAGAGTTATTCTTCACTAAACTGATTTGTTATACACTTTTGAGAGAAACCAGGGTCAAAAAATCGATTAATTACAACATACTCTAACAGAGAAGAATACTGGGCCATAAATAAATGAATGAAAGATCAAATAGTTTCATACCTTATGTAGATTATTGATTGTTGTTTAATAAGAAAATATGGAATACATTATTGAAAGCAACATCTAGTTTTTATGAGATAAACAGACGATAGAAATACTCTAAAATCAATTCTCATTCAAACACTATTTTTTATTAAATCTAATCTCATACAGTCAGTTAAGTATAAATAGAAGGTTTTAATAATCAATTTCATATAAAACTCTAGATTATTGTTTCATCATAAAAAATTAACAAACATATATAATCTATATTACTGTTTTCTCTATTTACTAAAAATAATGAGAGTTGTCAAGGTGAGTCAAACTTTGCGTTAGTCATATTCGAGTCCACAGTTTATTTATATTAGTTATCATATGAAGAGAATTTTCTATAGATATCCTTCTCTCCATTCATTATATACAATATTTATTATTTTTTAGTCTTGTTTTCTTCTATTATCTTGGTGGTAATTAATTGATTGGAATATATGAACTATATGAAAGAAAATATTTCTGAACTGAGTGTGAGTGTGAGTGGAAGATTCTTATTTTATTCTTTCCTCTTTACGTTTTCTCTTCTCTTCTTTGTTATTCGCTTCATTTTTGCTCAATTACATTGTGAAATACGATACTATTGGTAGTTATTTTCTCTTGCAGTTGATTATTTTTATGAAACTGCACTTTGTAAACGTTCAAATATATCTTTAAAATAAACAACATAATCAAAAAAACAACAAAGACTATTCTGTAGAATTATTTGCTACCTATAGAACAATATAACATTCGACTTTAACCGTCGTGATCGGGAAAAAAATCTGTATAGCGAACCACACACGTGAAATTTTTAAAAATCGTTTCGCTTATAATTTTCATTGCAATCCCTGGAACGCATCTAGGAACCTTCCCTTATTAGATCCCCTAGTATATAAGGTATAATATACTAGATGTGAATGTAAAGGAAAAAAATCAAAACAAATATTGTGTTATCTGACTTAT